AAGAAAGAAAGAAAGAAAAACTATGTAGCTTTCTAACTGAAGTACTTATTTCCTCTCTTAAATATTCTTTCAAGTTTAATAAAGACCATAAAATAGATTCACATTTCACACTCTTGATTTTCCAATAATACAAAGAATCAACAGATGATTATTAAATTGGAAAAGATGTATCTTTTCACCTAGCATGTTTTTCTTAGCACTAATAAGCTATGGAAAAGGATGACATACTTTCTTTCTTCAAAATGAAGTCAAGTTTTAAACTTCCTAATTGGGACCCTGGTCTACTGTTGGTAAGGCCAAATTCCTTACTACAAAAATCTCACAGTTTACTTATTTTATGCACTTAACAACAGAATAATGCAAAGGAATACCAGCTTATATCATTCATCTTTATTTCTCTCAATTATCGCATAATTCATTACTGAAGTCTTCAGTTCCAATGTTTTGTTACCTGGCTCGTTTACAGGCATAAGGTCTGACAATTAAGTTCAAGAACTCCTCCTAGAGAAAATGTTATCTATATACCTTATTGCTGAATCACCAGATGGCCAAAAGGAATACTTGAAAGATAACTGTAGTGAAATTCAGCAATGAGGTATGCAGCACTTTTTTTAGGACAAGTTCACAAACTTAATTGTCAGAACTCATAGCTATAAACACAGGGTCTGGCAGAAGTAATAGACCTTTTCAGCCTGAGTGTGATATTGTTATATTACAGAATTACTGTAACCTGTATTTCCCAACAAGAAAAGATATAATAGCTTCACTAGAAGCAATTTTCACATCTTATTTTCTTACCGGATAGATCTGAAAATATGCTCTAATGTGTATGCTGTGAACAATATAAAAAATGGATAACATCTGTTTGGAATAGTTGACATTTCACCATATTCAAACAACATGGAGACACATATACGCGGCATACTTAAGTTTCGTGATGCCTGACAGAAACGGCACGGACCCCGAAGTGGCAAAAACTTATCTGAAGGTTTTGGCTGGTGCTTTCTTCCCTGTGTGTCTCTCAGTTACAATTAACAATAGCTATTTTCTGTGGCATTACTGTTGGTGCCATTAATTCAAAGAAATTATTTATTTCAAAATGATGCCAAATCCTAAAATTCACAATTAGTAACCGAAACCTGTGGAATACAGCAAAAGCAGTCTTAAGAGGGAAACTTATCACATTAGATGCCTACATCTGAAAAACAGAAAGAGAGTGTATCACCAACCTAATGAATCGTCTTAAGGAAAAGGAAGAGCAATCCAATCCCAAACCTAGCAGAAGAAATAACCAAAAGTAAATCAGGAATAAATGAAATTGAAAACAAAGGGATCACTCAGAAAATTAATGGAACAAAAAGTTGGTTCTTCAAAAAGGTAAACAAAATAAACCTTTGGCCAGATTAACTATAAACAGAAAAGTAAAATGTCTAATAACCTCAAAAGAAGTGAAAAGGGGGAAATAAAAACAGATACAACAGAGATACAAGAGATTATCTCTGACTACCACAAGAAACACTACACCCAGAAATTTGACAATGTAGAAGAAATGGACCAATACCTGGGATCACACCATCTCCCTAGACTTAACCAGGAAGAAATAGATGTTTTGAACAGAAGAACTTCAAGCACTGAGATTGAAGAAACAATAAAAAATTTCCAACAAAAAGAAAGCCCTGGACCAGATGGCTCCACACCAGAATTCTATCAAACCTTCAAAGGTTTACTTGTACTTACTTATACAGCAGAATCTATTCCAAAGCATTGAGAAGGAAGGAACCTTCCCCAACATGTTCTATGAAGCAAACATCACCTTGATTCCAAAACCAAGAAAGGACCCAACTTAAAAGGAGAACTACACACTAATTTCACTAATGAATATTGGTGCAAAAATACTCAATAAGATCTTAGCTAATATATTACAGCTATACATTAAAAAAATTATACATCATGATCAAGTAGGCTTCATCCCAGCGATGCAAGGCTGATTCAACATATGCCAAATCTATAATTGTAATTTACTATATCAATAGAAGCAAAAACAAGACCATATGATCCTCTTAATAGATGCAGAAAAAACATTTGATAAAATTCAGCATCCTTTTCTAACAAGAACACTTAAGAAAATAGGCATACGTGGAATATTTCTTAAACTGATTGAAGCCATCTATGACAAATCCACAGCTAATATCATACTGAACACAGTGAAACTGAAAGCCATTCCACTTGGAGATGGAACCAGACAAGGATGTCCTCTATCACAACTACTATTCAATATAGTTCTAGAAGTTCTAGCCAATGCAATAAGGCAAAAGAAGGATATAAAGGGCATCCAAATGGGTGCAGAGGAGGTCAAAAACTCTCTCTTTGCCACTGACATGATCTTATGACTCAACTACCTAGAGACTCCTGGAAGTTATCAAGAAATACAGTAACATCTCAGAGTATAAAATCAATGTCCACAAATTAGCAGTCTTCGTGTATACCAATAACAGCCAAGTTGAGAAGCTAATCAAAGACACAAGTCCCTTCATAGTAGTTTCAAAGAAAATGAAATACCTAGGAATATACCTAACAAAAGAGGTGAAGGACCTCTACAAAGAGAATGAGGAAACCTTAGAAAAAGAAACACCAGAAGACATTAACAAATGGAAGAAAATACCATGCTCTTAGCTGGGAAGAATAAAAATTGTTAAAAGCAATCTAAATATTGAATGCAATCCCCTCTAAAATACCATCATCATATTTTGAAGAACTGGAAAACATAGTTCTTCATTTCATATGGAACCAGAAAAAAACCTGTATAGCCAATGCAATTTTTAGTAATAAAAACAAAGCCAGAATCAGACTTTAGGTTATATTACAAGTACACAGTGATCAAAACAGCATGGTATTGGCACAAAAATAGGAACATAGACATGTGGAACTGAATAGAAAACCAAGAGATGAAACCAGTCTCTAGTGCCATCTGATGTTTGATAAACCAAACAAAGGCATACAGTAGGGAAAAGAATCCCTATTCAACAAATGGTGCTGGGAGAACTGGATAACCACATGTAAAAGACTGAAACTGGACCTGCAGCTTACAACTTACAAAAACTGACTCAAGATGGATAAAAGATTAAAATCTAAGACATGGAATGATAAAAGTCCTAGAAGAAAGTAGGGGAAATGCTCTTGAGGATATCAGCCTGGGGAAAGATTTTATGAGGAAGACCAGTGGTAATTGCAACAACAAAAACAAATGGGACTTAATTAAGCTGAAAAGCTTCTGCACAACTAAGGACACACCAATTAAAGCAAATAGACAACCGTCAGAATGGGAAAAGATTATTTGCAAATTACTAATCTGAAAAACGGTTGATAACTAGAATCTACAGAGAATTCAAATTAATCAACAAAAAAAGAGCAAATAATTCCACGTATCACTGGGCAAGAGATATGAACAGAGCCTTCTCTGAGGATGACAGATGAATGGCTAACCAACATATGAAAAAATGTTCATTGTCCGTAATTATCAGAGAAATGCAAATCAAAACCACCCTGAGATATCATTTAACTCCAGCAAGAATACCCCACATCACAAAATCCCAATGTTGCAGATGCTGCTATGGACAGAGAGAGAGGAGAACACTTATACACTGTTAATGGGACTGCAAAGTCATACAGCCTCTTTGGAAAGAAGTATGAAGAATCCTCAAAGAACTCAAATTAGACCTCTCATTTGATCCTGCAATCCCATTACTAGGCATCTACTCAGAAGAAAAACAGTCACTTTATCATAAGGACATTTGCACTGGATTATTTATCACAGCTCAATTTACAATCACCAAGATGTGGAAACATTCTAAACGCCCATCAAGCAAGGAATGGATTAACAAGCTGTGATGTATGTATACCACAGAGTACTTACTATTCAGCCATAGAAAAGATGGAGACCTTATATCTTTTGTATTAACCTGGGTTGGAGTTGAAATACATTCTACTTAATCAAGTATCACAAGAATGGAAAAGCAAGTAGCCAATGTACTCAATTCTCATATGAAGCCAATACATGATCTAATACACGCCCACATAAAAGAAAAACTCAGTTCAATTCAACTTGGGGGAAGGAGAACAAGGGAGGAGGGAGAGTAGAAGAGACAAGGAGATTGGTGTGCTCCCACTTCATGGGCACAGTGTAGGGGTATATGGCACACCTTTTGCATGTGGAACACAATTACAAGAGGGACTCTACCTAACAAAGGCAAATATTGTAACCTAGTTGTTTGTACCCTAACATTGACCTGAAAAAAAAGATTCTATTTAGGAAGGCACTGAGAATCTTGTTAAATTTATTATAGAAATAAAATCCTTTATATAAAATATTAAACAGAGAGAAAGGGGTTGGGCAACAAATACAAAGTGAATCTGTTAACCTGTGGGAAAATGTTGAGGAAAGGTAAGAGAAATAGGGTGCGAGACATCCTGAGCGAAGACAACAAAATTTACAAACGAAGAGCTAAGATAGACATCAGAAACTTGTAGTCTGGCGAGTTGAGACTCGGGGAAATCATGCAACCTTTTCAGAGTAACACAGAACATCACGAACTTTCTCTGCATTGCAGATAACACAATAGGGGTAGTCACACTTCCCACGTAGCCTTCACTCTCTGTAAGGGGCAGGTGAATGCAGACAATTTTTTTTTATTGCCCATAACCTAAGAACAGTCACTCTTACCGACCCGGGGTACTTATCTCTATTGTATTGTTCCAACCAACAAGAACTCGGTAAGTGTCGCCATCTTGGACTAGTTTTGTTTGTCTTTTTAAAGCTGACCAGGAAAAGGCATTGCTTAAAAATTGTTCTGGCACAAACATTGTTCTACTAGGCACTCTTCTCCACCAGATAAGTCTGACCCAAACAGTAAGTCAAAGCAATTAGTAACCTTTTGTGGCCATTATTCAATAGAGTGGGTGTTAGAGATTCTAGAACGGTTGAACTTGCAGTCTGTTCTTACCTTTGCATTTTGGATGCATGGACAAAGGGCCCAGGCTGCACTGGCCTTCACATCTGGGTGAGGGTTTTTCAGCAAGGACCACAGCAAGCGAACTCCATCTAAGCGATCAATTATCCTGGAGTGGAACACAAGATGGAGATATAAACTGTAATTAGTGAGTTACAATGAAAATTTAAACAGCCCACTTATTTACACAACTCTAATTATTTTTTTTTCTTTTGACATTTTGCTTTCTTTCTTTTTCTTTTTTCCTCAAAACTTCCACAACAGCAGGGATATAGAACACGCTGTCGGATCGTCAGCCCTCTGATTTCAGTTTTAAGTTCACTACACAGAAAGCAGGCTGCATGATCATTACAATTCACATACACTGAAAATCAAGCCACGTAATTTTTTAATGAGCTGAACACAGACTGTTACCTAAATGTAAAAATACTGGTTTCTTTCACATAGTAACATCTAAATACTTTCCAAAACAAATATTTGTGCCTCGAAACCTCGCAGTTACCTTTTTTATTTGGTCTATGTTTAATTGACTTACCTTACTGTATGACATATTTTAAACTCTTTCAGCCCTAATCTAGCATTAGGAATTAAAATCATTACACCACAGTGTGTCCTTTGTCGGGCATGAATAACACGTAACTTGTTTGCCATGTGCGCCCTTCCCAGTAAGACTAACATTGCAGACTGTGTTATAATTACTTAAACACACTGTAATCAAAATATCTTCATGACTAGCTGAAAAATGAATTATCATCAGAGCCATCTCTACACCATCTGTCTTCTGTTTATATATCAATCAGTCCAGGGAGCATAACCCCACAGTAAAGTCCACTGAGTACTCACAGTTGAAAAGAAGGCCAAACAGAACTTAATATCCTTTACAAACATGGCTTTGTTCAGAAAGGTATATTAAACTCAAAGCAGATGAAAAAAGATAAAGCACATCAAAATTCCTTTGCTTTTTAATTTTGAGTTGAATTAAACGCATGTAACATTTAGCCACCGATAGAATAAATACTACTAGGTTAAAATGCCATTCAAGGGTGGTGCCTGTGGCTCAAGGACTAGGGCGCTGGCCCCATATACCGGAGGTGGTGAGTTCAAACCCAGCCTTGGCCAAAAACTGCAAAAAAAAAAAGAAAAGAAAAGAAAAGAAAAGAAAAGAAAATGCCATTCAAATTCTTCCTTGAAAATTGACATTTTAAAAAATCCTACATTTCTTGATTATCTGAGATGAGTTTGCCAGGAAAAAAAATATCTTTCCAAAAATTCCAAGTAGGATATCAGTTTTTGCATAACCCTATAAAATTGGTGGTACAAATACCTATTGTAAGATATAAACTTTCTCTATTTAAAAAAGTGACTTCTACTAAGAAAAAATGCACCGAGAAAGTATTTTACAGCAAAGCTTAAGCAACTAGCTTTTCAAACTGAAAACTTTCTGTCAAAATCATGCTGAAAAAAAGCAAAGTTTTATTTCTCAATTTATGGAAACTCTAAAAAAACTTACTGGGCTCTTCACAATGAAAACATTGCTTTTTCAATGCACATTAAAAAGGCTTACTGTCTTACATATGCTACTAAAAATATAATTAATGTTGACCCCTGGTCTCTATGTATATTTTATACAAAATGTCATGATAAACAACAATAAATAATTGTCTAACTTTCTTGCAAATTTAGCATTAATAATATTTTTAATATACATTGCTGGCCAGACATACCTTGTCACTAGAGAGGAAGTCATTTGGATGGTACACATTTCCAGTTTCAAAGTGATGGCTCATGCCTATAATCCTAGCACTCTGGGACGCTGAGGCAGGAGGATCACTTGAGCTCAGGAGTTCAAGACCAGCCTAAGCAAGAGCAAGACCTTGTCTCTACTAAAAATAGAAAAAATAGCCAGGTGGTGTGGTGGGCACCTATAGTCAGAGGTACTTGGGAGGCTGAGGCAAGAGGATTGCTTGAGCCCGAGAGTTTGAGGTTGCTGTGAGCTATGACACAATGGCACTCTACTGAGGGTGACAAAATGACACTCTGTCTCAAAATGCAAAAGGAAAAAAGGTAATTCAATCTTCAACCTCTTCTCCAAGACAAAATTTCACAATTAGCTATAAAAATTCAATATTAATCGTAAAACTAGATGTATTGTTCTCCACTTTCTCCCCAAACCCTAAGCAGTTCATCAGTTGCTTAGTTAGTACGAATGAGGACTGTGGCCCCACTACAGGCATCTTAAAAGAAGACTCAGCAGAGTATAGAGTCTTCTTCTATGAGGAAGACATTACAGAAGAACATTTGCAAATGCCAGAACTGACAAAGTCAGGGGTAGCAAACTTCAGAGTTGAATTTTAGCCCTCCCGTCTCCCTCATCCTCTGCTTGGAATCATTTATTGCTTTCCTGAAACCAGTAGGTGAACAATGACACACCCACACAAGAGAAAAGCACAACCACATTCAAGTGGGAGAGGGGAGGAGGCTGGAGGTGGAAGAGAGCAGAAGGGAGGGGGATTGGTGTGCTCTCACCTAATGGGCACAATGGGTGTACAGCACACCCCCCAGGTGTAGGGCTCAACTATAACTTGGACTTTACCTAACAAATGCAAACAATGTAACTTAATTATTTGTACCCTTCCTAATGGAGAAAAAAAATCTTTCTTCCTTCCTTTCTTTCTTTCTTTCTTTCTTTCTTTCTTTCTTTCTTTCTTTCTTTCTTTCTTTTTTTGAGACAGAGTCTCACTACTTTGCCCTCCGTAGAGTGCCATTGTATCACAGCTCACAGCAACCTCAAACTCTTGAGCTTAAGTGATTCTCTTGCCTCAGCCTCCCAAATAGCTGGGACTACAGGGGCCCACCACAATGCCTGGCTATTTTTTTGTTGCAGTTGTCATTGCTGTTTAGCTTGCCCGGGCCGGGTTTGAACCCGCCAGCCTAGGTATATGTGGCTGGCACTATAACCACTGTGCTACAGGTGTCAAGCCAGAAAAAAAAAAATTTAATTAAAAAAAGAAATCATTTACTGCTGATTTTTACTTCATAATAATTCCAGTATCTTTCCCTGCTTTCCTATTGCCTATGTAAGCACTCTAACCTTGGCCTTTACTACCTCTATCAGAATGCTACATTGGGTGTATAACTTGATTTTGTGGCTTCAGCTTCTCTCAATCTCAATACAACCTATAATAGATCCTATATATCTTTCTAAAGAAACTTTTAGAGCTTCTGCAATAGCTCCTTGATAGCAGGGTGCCAGGGATGTTCATTCTGTTCATGACATCACCTAATGTGTTCAATCAATTATTGTTGAACAGTTCACAACCAAAAGATCACTCTTGGGGTAGGGGGAGCCTCCAGTGGCTTCCTACTGCCCACATGATATTAAAACCCCAATTCCTGGATTCAGTATCAAATTTACATGGAACTGAAATTGTTCATAAGACTCCTTGACCATCCACAAAACTCTAAGCAGCAGGCATCCAGAAATAACAGATACGGTCAATTCTCATTATTAGGGGTAGTTATGGTGTCTTAAGTCATGAGCAAATACTGAACCACAGCTCCAGTGGAAATATAAAGTTGTGTTCCTGTGTGCTTCTGATCTAAATACTTTTATCAAATGGTCAATATATAACTTTGTTTCATGTGTATTTCTCTTTGAAGACACCCTATTTAAAATATATTGTTGAATCATTATTTAACTTTGTTTTTTTTTTTTTTTTTTTTGGTTGTGCAGTTTGGCCGGGGCTGGGTTTGAACCTGCCACCCTCAGTATATGGGGCCGGTGCCCTATCCACTGAGCCAGAGGTGCTGCCCTTGAATCATTAACTTTGGACTTATGGCCAACTACTCTACGATTCATAATTGAATGAAACTTATCAAACACATGGATTTTCTCCATAAGACACACCCCAGACTTCTTATGCCTTGGCACTCTGAACAGCATCTAGGCACCATGCTCAGGGGCCATTTGAAAGAGCAAAATCATCAACCCAAAACAAAACTGTGAAAAACCTGGCACTTGGCAGTAGACCTTCAAGTGGACACCTTGTTCACAGTATGAGAGGTGAAATAAAAAGGCTAAGTGTAACCTTTTTGGACCCCAGCTGGAAGCATGTGCATGGCATGACTCAAATTTTTTCACAGCTCTGCACCTAATGGGCACAACTTTCATTCCACAAGTCTCCAGAAATAATAGTGAAAGTGATATGAGTATTGATGTTTTGGCTGGGGTGGGTCGGGGTCTACGTATGAATTCATCAATAGAGAACCTGCAAATAATGAGGAATGACTGCATTTTAATTGTCCTTCAGGAAACTACAGTGTAGTCAGGGAGATAAAGAGATAATTATAATCTATTAAAAGTGCTGCAACAGATGTGTACATCCACGTGAAGATAGAGAGAAGACACTAGTTTACTCATAGACCACAGAGACTCCTCCCTTTATGCATTTTTCAACTATACATCTTTGTCCATGCCATGTCCACCTTTGACTATAATCATCCATCTCTTAAGGCCCAAAATCTTTTCCACAAATCCTCTTGCTTCCTTCTCTTTTAAGCCTCTTTTACATTTTGCCTTTTCCTTTCCTGGCACTCGTGCCATGTGTGTGCTTCTTATCTCCCCAATTACTGTGTAATTTCCTTGACAGTAGTAATCATATATTACCCACCACTCTTGGGGGCATGCTACACACCAGCAAATATAGGTTAAATGCATCTGAAACAAGACAGTCTTTGCTTATTTCTTTTTCAATGAATCACAAATCTCTCTAACACAAATACATTCTTTTTTAAACCTCATTGTTGCAAAATAAATGTGCAAATTCTAAATCTAAGCAGTAAAGTTTTCATTGGAAGCTGTTTCTAGGTTGAAAGTATATTTTCACGGAATTCGTTTACAACTTAATTGCTTTTTGTAGATACAGCGATGGGCTTAGAGGTGGTAGTAATTTACATTGTCCGCTTTCAATGGGTCTGCCCCACATTTGTTTAGCTCTTTAATTTGATTAGAACTTTGCTGGGAATTCATTTCCAGCAATGATGGTAGCTTTTCCCATTTTTATACCAATAGAATTTTACATTAATTTCTTAACATTATAAAGACAAAAT